ATCTCATCACCGCCTTATGCCGAAAGAAGAAGGTTCATGAAGAAGTGTTTAATGAGATTTTACCGGGTATTGCTGGAATTACCAAAACGAAGATCCATTTGTTGTTGGGATTAAAGGAAGCAAAGGGGAAGGAAAAAGAGACTTCCACATCTCGCGTTTCACTATCTCCACATGCCAAGGCAAATTCAGATGCCTTGGAGTAGGCAGTCCAGTGCACTCAAGAGCATGTCGGGCAGCTGTCTGACAAACTGATGACATATTTCGCCTATACCAAACGCCGAGATGAATTTCTCACCAGCGCCTTGATGGAATTTCTCCCGCACGTAAACTTCACCATTCCTGTCTTCCCTGACATACTCATGCCACAGAATGAGGATACCGAGGCATATGCAGAAGCACCTCGTCCTGCCAATACAGATGCCCCTCAATCGCATGGTGCAGAGAGTCCCCAGCCTGCTGAACCTGAAGAGCCTGCTGACGCTGAAGATCCAGAAGACCCTGATCCTGTCCATATTGTGCCGCCCAATGCCGATCAAAAAACCAACCTCCAACTCGCTCATTGTCCGAAATCTCCCCAACATGTTGAACCCTTGGCGGCAGAACACCCTGATATACCGCAACCTGCTGCACCAATAGAAAAAGAGCACCCTGAAGTACCCTTCCCCACCGAGTCAACCGATGAGTCACAATCCGAGATGCCACAACAAGCTCCTTTGCGTAGGAACCGACGTCACCTTAGGAATGCATCTTAGCATCAAGAGCCCCCACTCCCAACCGTTCCAGAAGGACCTAGCACTACTCCAGCCGCACTTGCGTCTGACTCTAAGTATTCTAGCCCCACCAAGATGAGAAAGAGCATTCGCCGCGCAGTCGCTGCACCACCACCCGCTTAAAGTCAAGGTACCTTGTATTAGTATTGCATTCATAGCATGTAGTTCCATTTTCCTTAGTTTTAGTAAGCATTAGGGAAAATGCTTCTCTCAAGTTTGGGGGAAGTAGGGTTCTCGCATCACTGCATGATAGTAGTAGTAAAATACATATGCCATGACATTAGTAATTGCCTGAATAGTTTTCTAGAATTAATTAAGGATGTCTGATGATGATGAATTTGATGGCTAAGATAGAATGTACATGACTGATTGAGGATGATAGAACCAACTCTAGGACTTGCTTCTTTGAAACCCTTGATTACACGATTGTATGTTTTCCATGCTAGAGAAACTTAGAAATCTTTTATAAGAGAATTCTTAAAATGTCGTGGCATAAAACTTTGACTGTTGAACGCCCAGTTTCTATGCTTAAAAAAAAGTTTAAAGTTTTGAATAAATGCCTAGCCATATCTGTAGAGGGACACTCCACTATGCTATGGCATATGAGTGAATGAAAGATGTCACGGGATGACTCTGCCTGACTAGCTCGAGGGTCGAAGGTATGCTCCCTTTCACCTAGAGTGTGGGATGATAGAGTGATGAACTGACTCCCCTCGTAGCAGAACTAATAAAAGAAAATAAAGGCAATGTGGGAACTGATTTAGAAAATGTCATGGTAAATTAAGAAAGCTTGCGTAAATTTTTTTTAAGTTTGTTAAGCATGGACTGGATTCAAAAATGCACACTCACATAAAGAATCTTACCCTAGGGGACAATACTAGATTTCTCGACCTAGTCTAGCATGTTGAAGCCATATGTGTTGAGGGTGAAATTTTATTCCATGAAACTATGTGGTTTCTGAACTTGTCATGGTATTTTTGTTTTGCTTATTATAATCCATTGCTTGAGGACAAGCAATAGCTTAAGTTTGGGGGTGTGATAACTCTGTAAAAGGCCACATTTTGGGACCTTTTTATCTTAAGTTATTGAATGTATAAAGGCTCATTTAGAACCATGTAGAGGCATTTAGAAGCATTTAGTTGCATGTGGTGGATTTCGGTTTGCAGAGGCATTTTATTTTTATAGTGGTGTTGCTTTATGGGAAATGTACTTGTCTGATGATGTGCAGGTATTGAGAGCAAGGAAAAGAGGAAATAAAATGTCATGACATAAGGAGATTGCTGAGCAAAATGAATTTGCCAAGTTAAACCGACATTTCGAAAGTGCTTTAAGTGCGAGACGATATTATTGAAGCAAGCTGTATCCAACTGTCCGAGAGCTCTGCCCGAGAAATCCACCTCAAAGATACGCCTGGAGGGATCGGCGCTGCAACCGTCGGTTCTGTTGATTACGCCGCCTGATCCTGCAGATCATGTCTGTCCTTGGGCGCCTGCAATGGGATTATGTTGGTCATTCATGCCAGCTACCCAGGTTATATCATCACCTGTCTTGCCCGACTCCCAAGCAAAGTTAACCATGGTTTGGGAAAATCAACTCTTAGTTCAAGGGTTAATTTTCCCCTATAAATAGAGGATGAAGCCACATTGCTAGAGACTTTAGTTCCACATAGATTTGAGCTTAAAAAAGTTAGAGAGAGAAAGTCTCATCTTTCTCCGTCAATCCTACTTGCCGTGGCATTTCTCATTGACAAGCCTGAGGGAGTGGCGTTCTGAGCATCCGAGAGGAGCCAGTCCGCTGGGAGCATTTCTTGGTGGCCGAGAGGAGCATTGGGCAGTGTACGTCAAAGGCTTTCTCTCCTCCCCTTTGTTATTTGCTTTCATATTTTGTTATTGGGTTGTAAGAAACAAATGAAACTTGTCTTGAACTTGTTTATTTCGAACCCCACCATGAACTAATCTTATTTGGTGGGAGTTTGCTTGGATGTTTATGTTTTATTTTCAATGAATGGTTGTTTTATTATGCTTTAATATGTTTTGTTTATGAAACTTAATGCTTTGAGGTTATAGGAGCTACTGGAGTAACCTTTTCTTAGAAGGTGCTTAGGGTTCGAGAGAATGCCTAGGTAGTTTATCTTTAGTCTTCGAGAGAAGCTAGGGAGGAATTACATAAACAACGGGTACTAGGTAGTAACTAGGCCTAATCCACCTTAGAGATAAGGATAGGATTTCATTCGACTAAAAGGAGTAAAGCATAACCGATAGGTTAGATGTTAATGCTGCCGCAAAAAGGTATTGTCGAGACATATCCTGTTATCTGAACTAATAGGATCACTACAGGGGTTTACGCCAATCGGATTTGCCAGGGCATTTTTAATTTGTCGAGTCCCTTACTAGAGATAACTTAGGGCACTTCAGTAGACTCTGTTGGGCAGATTAATCATAGAGGAAATACCATTCGGAAAAATAGACTTAGATTTTCCTAGTGGCTCCCATCACTCATTCCCATTGCTCCTTGCCATGTGAGAAAGATAAAGTCCTATAAATTAAATCCAGTATTTACATTTTATTTTGCCTTGACATTTTTATCTGCTTGCTTGTTTCACAATTAAATTTGCTACGACATATCCATTTTCTACAATACTGTCACTATCCTATTTCCACATCAATCAATTCATTTTGCCAAAACATTATCATTTGTACGTACCATCACTAACTTTACTTAGGTGACAAAGTAAAGTGCCTTGACAAACCTATTTGATTTCCCCAATTCCCTTTGGAGACGATACTCTACTTATCACTTTATTACTTGTTCGATTGTATATACTTGCAAACATATCCGCACCCATATTTAGTACTCACAAAGAGCGGACATATTGCAATTCCAACGGCAGAAATCAGCACTGTATAAGCAATCACAGGCCATGAAGCAATCTCCATAAAGAATGGAGTTTTCTCTGTCCTGATCAAGTGGTAAATCAGGGTCTGCATCAGTAACCCTTCAATGAAATAAGCTGAACGAAAGAAAGTTGAATTCAACCGGCTACCGGAACTGTAATAAAACCATACAAACAAAAGGGTTTGCTACATCACACACAGTACAGACCGGACCGTTCCATAGGATGAACATCGGCAAACCTTTGGTAGACGATTTTTGTGGGATTTTGACATAATCTTCTTCCATTTTGTCCCATGGAATTGAAATCTGGCCTACACTATACAAGAAGTTCTGCACAAGGAGTTGCTTCGGGGTTAATGGATCGAATCGTAGTAAAAGTGTTGCGATGAAGAGTGACAGAACACGCTCCCTAGATTAGCAATGACCGAAAGTTTAATGTATTTCATCGTGTTGCCAAATGTGAGACGGCCTTGCTCGACTCCGGCGACGAGTACGTTTATGTCCTTCTCTAGTAAAATGATATCAGCCAAGTCTTTTACAACCGATGCTGCTGAATCAACTGATATGCCTACATTGGTTGCATCCAAGGCGAGCGAGTCATTAATGCCGTCTCCCATAAATCCAACAACGTGATTACCGTCTGTCTGCAATGACTGTACTACTCTGAGCTTCTGAAAAGGGGTTAGACATGCCAGAACTGTTGCCTTTTTCACTCGCTCGTGAACGACATCCTGGTTCAACTACTCCAGGTCTGGTCCTGTTGTTACCTGTGTGGTTTTGATGCCAACTTCCTGGCAAATTTTTATTGCCAACGACAATGAATCGCTGGTTAGTATTTTTGCCTTTACTCCCTTCTCGTCCAATTGCCATAAAGCTTGCTTTGCCAAGTCCTTAGGCGTGTCGAAGAATGTTATGACTCCGAGGAACACCATGTCTGATTCAATAACATCATCGTTTTCCATGTTTTGCTCACTTGTTTCCTGCAACTTGACGTGAAATTGTTATTCTACATTCAAGGGCATTGCAAGAAAATACCAAAAGGGCAATGGTTTAATGGATATTTGAACTCACTTATTGTTGTAGATTCTTTATTGCAACTCCTATAACCCTTAATCCCTCATTGCTAAGTTCTGCCACCACGGTTAAGATCCTATGATGGTGTTCTGCAGAGAAAGCTGTTATCTCACCCCTATCTGCATCATCCACATAAGAACAAATTTCACCACTTCTTCAAGTGCACCTTTGGTTATTATGAATCTGTATATGCCTTGGCTATATACGCCTTCTCAATTAGATCCTGTTTCCAAAATAACGGACACTCTTCTTCTTATGAAACTAAAAGGGATTTCATCGATCTTTCTCTATTTGGATGGTTGGAATCGGTAACGGTTCGTGTAACACGTATGCCAAAATTGCATCGTCCAGTGGATATTTCTGATCACTCTTGAAGTAAGAATTCAGGAAGGAAAAATGTAAGACCTTTTCTCTCGGAGTACCCCAGCTATCCAGATGATTAACCATGATTGCATGGTTCATGGTGAGCGTCCAGGTTTTATCGATACATAGAATATCCCTGAAAAAACCAAAGGCAAAGTTGATTTATGAAGTTGATTTAAACAATGATCTGCATGGAATGATTCTAGTCTTTCAGATCTATATTTCATGAGAAAAATTGGACCTACATGGATCCCATGACTCGTATGGCAGACAAGCTTTTGACTATGCTTATCTCCCTTGCCATAGCAAGTGCACCCTTTGCAAGACTTGTGTTTATGATGAGAGGAAGCATTTGAGGAGTGTCGTAACCGGATTTCGCCCAGGCACGAAAATGTTTTACTTGGCGGGAAAATTAAAATGAATAAATAAATGATTTTTGATTTAAAACATATTTTGGGAGTCATCTTTTTGGGTTAGGTAGGTCAAATACCTAAAAACATTCTTTTAAAATAGTTTTCAAGAAAACATAATTTAAAAGATAAAATGATCTGTGTATAATCAAAAAAATTTAATAAAGAAGGGATTCGTGGTCGATTACGTTAAGCGAAGGATTATCACCCCTATAACGCCCAAAATTGATACTCATTAATTATAAATTATCTCTATTATTAGAAATTTAAAAATTTGAAGATATATTTAATTTATAATGTTGTTATTTCAAATTTATTACTATAATTTTAAGAAAATTTATTAATATATATAAATAAGATATAAGATATTTATTTATTTAGAAATATCAGAAAATGGTTTCTATGTGCTTTAAGACAGCTCTTTTCTTAATATTAAAAAATAAATAAATATTAAAACATTTATCTATAGATATAATTTATAAAAGTAAGATATTTATTTATTTAAAAATATCAGAAAATTGACATCCAGTTTCTTTAAGATTGTCTTTTCTTAATATTGAAAAATAAATATATATTAAAATATAATTATTTTTCTTAAAAGTTATTTATAAAATTAAATTTATAAATAGGATTAAATAAATAAATTTTTATATATATATATATATAATAATAATAATAATAATAATAATTAAATATATTGAAAATAAACTTATAAAATTATAACTAAACAGTGACTAAAATAAAGAAATTTATAACTATATATTTAAAATAAAATCAATAAAACTTGTAATTAAAAATAAATGAAAATAAAATTAATGACTAAATTATAACATACTAAAATTAAATACCTAATTCATAATTAATTATTTAAAATTACGGGGATTAAACATGCTATTTTTCATTTATTTAATTTAGGGACTAAAATAAAATTATATAAAATTCAAACATCAAATTGAAACAAATTAAAACATGTTGTTTGATTAAAATAATAATTATTAAAATCATAATGGCTAATTCGGTTATTTTACTTAAAATATATATAATTATGTTAGTGACCAAATTATAAAGGAATTAAAATTCATATACCGAATTAAAAAGATCTAAAATTTGATTCAGTGACTAAAGCATAAAATTTCAAAGTTGTGATGGCCATGGGTATATTTTACCCATAAGAGAAATTACACAAAAACCCTCACCAAAACTACATCGTTTTGGTGAGGGTATTTAAGCCCTATTATAGCCGACCTTAAGGCCAAATTTCTCATTTTTTCCTTCCTCATCCTCTCTCTAAAACTGAGAGAAGAATTCTCTCTGCCTTCTCTCTAGGATTCCCTCACCGGAGGGAATCTGTTCGGCAGTCGTCTGCCGCCGCAAACCTTCGCCGCCGGCCACCGTGAATGGTGGCTGGAATTTCAAAATCTCCCTAATAAATAGATCCCGACTCCCTAAAGCCGAATCTGACACTCTTTTTTTTCTTTTAAAACCGCTTATTATTTCCTAGATCTAAGAAAACTACCTTCGAAATTTTAATTTTCCAGCAATACATGGAGGCACAGGGGTTCTCCGGTGGCCGTGTTTCTTCTCGGTAAGTCTCTTTCCTTCTTTTGATTCACTATTGGTTGTTGTGGTTACTTGTGGGTGTATTATTTTGTTTTGGTTCGTTGCTCTCTTCGTGTCTCTTTGTTGGCAGGGGGCTCGGTGGCTTTAATAGCCACCACCGGTGATGGCTTCGGACTGGTCTCACAGAGGAGTTTTGGTTAGTCACCAAACTTATGGTGACTAACCGAAAAATAGTGACGCGTATGTGGTTGGCAACGCTTCTGGAGCCTTTGTTCGGATGTCGTGCCAGCGGCTAGTGGAGATGTGGAGCAATGGCAGTGAATACGGTGGCCGCGTGTCCCTAGGGTATCATAACCCTAGGGTTTCTGTTGGGATCATCTTGGACCGTTGGATCTAAGCCAGATCCAACGATGGACAAAAAGAGGCGGTTGAGGCATTATATATAAACCTTAAATGGGTTTTAGGGTTTCTATTAGGTCGATCTGGGTTTTTCTTATAATTAGGTCGGTCTGGGTTTTGGGCATGCAATGATATTTGTAATTATTTAATAATAATGATAAAATAAATAAAATTATAATAATATAAAAAAACAAATAGGTAAAAAAAATTAGTATCTTCAGCTGCCCCTCTTTGCTCATTCTTGTTTTAACAAGAATATGGCAAAGACAAAAGGATAATAAGTTTTTTATCCATTTGACTTCACTTGATTATGATGGCAATGTTGAACGAGTTCTTCTTGTTATGAACTCTTTCATTTTTCCACTGGGGATAACAATCTATCTTCTTCTGTGATATAATTTAGTAAAAGTTGAACAAATTCTTCTCATTATGAACTTATTCTTCTTTTTCAGATGAGTTCTTCTCATTATGAACTCTTTCTAGAAATGCTGATCTTCAAAAGTGGTATTGTTGATTCAATTTCAATAGATGATGAATCAAATTAAGGTTGAACAAGTTATTCTTATTATGAACTTCTTCTCATTCTTCAGATGAGTTCTTCTCATTATGAACACTTCTGGAAATATTGATGTTGATCTATCTCCTTCTGTGATAGAATCAAACAAAGGTTGAACAAGTTCTTCTCATTATGAACTTCTTATTCCTCTTCAGATGAGTTCTTCTCATTATGAACTCTTCTGGAAATGTTGATCCATCGAGTGATGAATTCAAACAAAAGGTTAAACAAGTTCTTCTCATTATGAACTTCTTCTTCCTTCTTCAGATGAGTTCTTCTCATTATGAACTTCTTCTGGAAAAGTTGATCCATCAAGTGATGAATTCAAGCAAAAGGTTAAACAAGTTCTTCTCATTATGAACTTATTCTTCCTTCTTCAGAAGAGTTCTTCTCATTATGAACTTCTTCTGGAAAAGGTGATCCATCAAGTGATGAATTCAAGCATAAGGTTAAACAAGTTCTTCTCATTATGAACTTCTTATTCCTTCTTCAGATGAGTTCTTCTCATTATGAACTTCTTCTGGAAAAGTTGATCCATCAAGTGATGAATTCAAGCAAAAGGTTAAACATTTTCTTCTCATTATGAACTTCTTTTTCCTTCTTCAGATGAGTTCTTCTCATTATGAACTCCTTATGGAAAAGTTGATCCATCAAGTGATGAATTCAAATCTTTGATAAAATCTTTGAAATTCCTGTCAAATATTTGACATGGATAAAATGAATGAAAATGCCCATATTTTGCAAATGTCTAAATATGATGCATGGATGTTAAGTTCATCTTTATTTGATTTCAAAGTGGCGAACTCAATCTTTCTTCAATTGTGTAGAAATCCAATAAATCTTTCTTCTTTGAAAAGATAATCTATCATCTTTAGAGAGTGTAGATGTAGATATGCTTGAATTTTTGTATGATGTCATAAAACCACTTGAGAACAAAACTCAATGGTATAGGCTCTTGAAAAGTCTGCACTCTTACAACATGTTAATTATGATAACTATCAACTGATTATGAAGCGATATTTCATGATGATTTCACAGATATTGATAATTCTTTTGATACTGAGGAAATCCTGAATTCTGATTCTGATGAGGAGAATAAACTGTTATACTTGACGAAAATGGAGTACTCAAAGGTTGAGGCTTCAATAGCCATAAAGAGATGTGGTACATATTCATCAATTGAAGAGTTGACAGATTTTATATGTGCTGCTCAAATAGCTAAAGTTACTGACGCACTTCTTCCGGTAGAAGATATGAAGCCATTATGTAATAACCCCAATTATAAAAAAAGGCGAAACTCAGGGTATGATTTGTTGAAAAGGAAGAAGCAGAGGAAGCTTGAAAAGAGGCTTCTTAATGAATACGATCATACAGTTCATCTTCTAAATCCAATGATTGGTTTTAGGGTTCTTACCGAACCAGATCAGATAACTCAAAGAATACTTCCAGAAGATGCTATTGGGCATCCTTATTTCTACTACGAGAACGTGGAACTTGCTCCAGTTGATGTTTGGACCAAAACGTCACAGTACTTATAAGATGTAGAACCAGAATTTGTAGATTCGAAGTATTTTTGTACTGCTGCACGGAAAAGGGACTATATTCATAATCTGCCAATTGAGAACATATTTCCTCTTGTTCCGCTTCCAAATGACTCTATGATGGAAATAACTTGTTTGCTTTTCAAAAGTGAGTGCAAATGTCGATAAGACCTACTTTAGATTCCATGTACTTAAAAGTATTAACATAAAGTGATAACCAAAAATATTTCGTTTGTTTCAAGATTATGTTAATCCATTTTCAAGATGTTTATGTGAAAGAATAAATTAAATTTCAAACAAAAGAAATTGAATTTCAAAAAGATAATCTTGGAATAAATAATATATTCAAAGTCATGGCAAACAGGAATGATAAAATTCAAATGATTCAACAATTTATTAGCATAAGTATTTCTAAACTAATCAACTTGATATAATTTAGAGCACTGAGGTAAGCTTATGTCTGGAAGATCTCAAACGTTGCCAGAATGCTTGTAGATGTAAAGTTCCTCCCAAAATATCAAGCTCTTAAGAGGATTTAATTGCCAGATGCCTAATATCAACATTCATTTGAGCATCCCTTTCAGGTTTTCAACTCAAATCATTCTTTTGGTTGCAAGATGCCCTTTTTGGGTTTTCATCTTGACCCTCCTTTTCTACATATATTTTTCATCATTTTCATTTTTTTCTTTTCATTTCATTTCATTTTTTTTTATTTTTTCATCATTTTTTCTTCTTCAAGCATAATATTTCTTGACAAAATATGAGTTTATTGGGTTTCTCATAACTTTTTCATCCATTTCTGTCAAGATCAAAGCTCCTCCGGAAAAGGCATTTTTTACAACATATGGCCCTTCCCAATTAGGCATCCATTTCCCATGGAAATCTTTATGT